AATCAGAGCTAGTGGTTGTCATTATATGATTACAACTGATTTACATGGTCAATGAATAAAAGTTAAGCTTATCCTGAGAGACAGTTCCCATTTATCTTCTAACATTCCAACATATTGCAACTAGGATATATAAATATTTACAGTTATCAAAATCTTTAGTTATCAAAATCTTCAGTTATCAAAAGATGTTGTTTGTGATGTTTAATTGCTGAGATACATCCCAAAATAATTGACCTTCAACTGTCCTAGAATTAGTGAGACAAATTGCATAGACCTAATTTTAAATCCTGGATAGGTATGTAGAGATGTTTATGAGTGTATATTTGTCATAAAATCATTGTCATACAAGTCATGGGGAAGTATGTTTTTTGTATGTTTTTCATAGATTTATCAGAGATGTTGGCTAGTCTTCAAGAAAGCATCCAGCAAAGGGCCCAGAAGAATGGAGAAATTTTCAGATGAACGTGCTGCATACTTCAGATGTTATCACAAGGTAAGAAGAGTTAAAGAGTTGGATGAGATGCTTCTCCCGCAGTTTCATGCTGTGATGAAAATCTTATGCAAATTATTTAAATTGGTCTTTTGTGCCAAATCATCTAAAGACATAAAGCGTTTACTGACATTTAAAGAGAATTAAAGTTGGGATTGATCTGATTTTATTACCACTTAATCTAGGGATGTCTCTGTGGAGACAAAGGAAAGGTATTTGTATTCCTTGCCCCAGCTTAATCATATTACCTATACCTATATAGAAACTAGAGTCATTTGGTAGAATTAGATGTTACAGAAATTTGATAAAGGTTAAAAAATATTATGGCATACAAGCTTAATAGTCTTCAGCCCTTCTAGTTAAATGTTAATATAATCAATGTACTAAAGAGTGCCCCTACCCTCAAAAAAGAGATGAAAATCTGTTGGAGTTCAATACATATTCCATGGTTTGTCAAATGATAGATGTTATAATGTTAACACCTTGCAGTTTCTTTATTATTGAGGGAATTTATAACAAAATATTTAATAGTCTTGCTTCAGATTTTGGGATGTTGGAATGGTGGTATGAATTTATTTGGGAAAGTGGATGATAACATGCCTAGTACATTTGATCCAGCTTTTTGAATTCATTATGTATTTTTGGTTCATTTGTGGTATTTTTGGTTCATTCTATTTATAAGGCCACTCATCTTACTATAATGACTCTGGATGGCTGACAATAGTTGCAATATAATGTAACAAAAATTGAACACACGAATTTATAATTGGTGGTTAAGATAAAACAAACATCCATCAACATAGCCATATCCTGGGCTCCAATTGATGCTCTAACCCATATGCCTGGGAACACAGCTCTGCAACATACTACAAATAATTTCATTGCGTGTTAATAGCATAGCATAGCATAGCATAGCATAGCATAGCATAGCATAGCATAGCATGGAATTCTTTACTTGCCAAGTATGATTGGACACACAAGGAATTTTTCTTGGTGCAAATGCTTTCAGTGTACATAAAAGAAAAGATATATTCATCAAGAGTCAAGAATCATCAGGTACAACACTTAATAATAGTCATAGGGTACAATAAGCAATCAAATCATACTAGGAAACAGTCAATATAAATTGTTAGGATACAAGCAACAAAGTTACAGTCATACAGTCACAAGTGGGAGGGGATGGGTGATAAGGAGTGATGAGAAGATTAATAATTAAGGTGTGTTTGGCATATTTTATTGTACTTCTTATATAGAGAGAGCCATCTTCTTAAGTGACCCACCAGATATGTTCTTCCAGTTGTTACACTTTCCAGCCAAATTACTTATTGACTTTGCTCAGTGAGCATTCTTGGACTTATAGTCCAAATATGAGCAGAAGTGTTAAGGAATTCTACTACAGCGATTAGTTGAATTTTGAGGTTTTGGTAGTTATAGTCAAGTTTGGCTTCAGATTGTTATTGTTATTGCCTAGCCTACTATATGATTTTGAAACAGAGTTCTCATCCTTTCTTTTAACCACCACATATCTAAGAGAAAATGGATCATTTTTAGCATTTTTAATCAGCTGTATAAATCTCCGAGGTTCAGATAAGGTATAAAAAAATAATACAAGGCCTACTCTGAGAACTTGTAAACTTTCAGAATTGTATTGTCCAATACTTTCTGGAATAAAATTGCTAGATATAACCTGGTTAAATAAATCTTCCTGACCGTTATATCTCCATCTTCCTTGAGCAAGGATTGTCTTCTCTGGGAGCCAAAGAAACATACCTTTTAGGTGCTGTCCTCTTCTTAAGGTACAGCTGTTCATATGGCCCGTTCATGACAGACTTTCAGAAAGTCTCTAATGATTTTGTTCCAGCTCAGGATCTGGGTTGTTGTGATTATTCTGCTTGATCAGGAGTTTGCCTTTTGGTTTTCAGTGCTTGGATTCCTGCTATTATATATGGTAATTTATGATTTTCAGTTTTCATTTTCATTATGTTCATGATATTTACCTTGCCTATTTGTGTTATCTTTTTAAACCAATGTTATGAATTTCAGACTGTGTACAACACCCAGTTAAACTGGAATGGCTTATTAGCATTGCAAATTAATAATGATCTCCCTCTCTCTGTCTGAACATCTCTGTCTCTGTCTGTCTGCCTGTCTGTCTGTTTCTCTCTCTCTCTCTGTGTGTGTGTGTGTGTGTGTGTGCGTGTGTAGGATCACATACTCTGTTGGGAAAATATATGTGTAATTCCATGCTGCGCTATGATAACTATACTAGACCTTTACTTATTTTTTAAGCTTTGGCAGTGCAGCTTATTATATTAGAAAAATGGGATTTAGGTGTGGCGTTTAGGAGCCTTGGAGCAAAAAAAGATAAGCTTCTGGTAGCTGATCCATTTTTGTTTGACTTGACAAAACATTTAAGAAATAAAAATCATGTGCAAATTGCATTTGAATCTTTTTAAATTCCCTTAAATTTTCCCCATCTATCTACATTTGCCTGATGCATAATGTGTATAGTATTGATTATTAAAACTATTTGCCATGCTTAGAATCTGAAGAAATAAAAACTTACAGATTTTCAAAACCAAAGATCGGGGGGGTGGGGGGGCAGAGAAAAGGCCAAGGATCTATCAGTTCTTATCAGTTCTTCTCAATTTGACTAACATCTTACACTGTTGCATACAGACTCAATGGTCTGGTATTTGTTAATTTTCATCATTAAATGTGCCATTTTATATGGAAGAATTTGTGATGTGAAATGCCTCTGCTGGTTACTCCAATTCTTTGTTTCTCTGTACTATGAAAAATATTGAATATGCTGGTTCTTTTCTTTCATGTGTTATGCACCTGCACTTGCTTTGCTGAGGACAAAAATAAAGATGAATTTTAAATCCGATCAATCAATCCTCTTCATTTGTTGGTCTATAGAAATTGGGGAGATCCATCTTTACAGCAATAAAATTTTAGATTGGCACAGAAAGTATGTAGTTTGAAATAACATTGAGTAGATCAATTGTTGAAGCAAATCTTGAATTTTTTTCTCTTTCTCATTCCCATTATTAATACAAAATGTTATTAATACATTAATATTAATACAAAATGTAAGTGGTACAGAATGATGGGGGAATTAGAGCCTGAATAGAGTATCCTGTATTAAGTAATAATTAATCCTTTTCTTCTCTTCTCTCAAAAGGTGATTTTATTTCTTGCTATGCATAACTTCCCAAAATAAATTCTGTCCTGCTCAGAAAGAAAAAAGAAAAACAGTTTCTGAACTCAGAGTTATTAGCCACCCAAAATACCTGTTGCTATGATTGCTTTATATTCTGAGGATAAATTTAATCTAAGAATGTCTGTCTAGGGTATATCACAATATTTCAATAAAAATTAATAATTCTTTAATCTTAACTTTATTAATTTACATTTTTCCTGTGGTCTGGATTTCTGTTGTCTAATACCTGCTGTTATTATTAAGTCTGTTTCTATATTTTGAAATGTTATACTGGGAATTTAATCCAGAAGAAAGCACAGGAGAACCACTTTTGTATAATGGCAAGATATTCCTAGGTATATCTTATATGTCACTAGGAATTGAGCTTGAATTGGAGGTGACTTCATTTTTCTCCCTTTTAACTTGCAATTTAGACTGGTTTTGAAATATTTTGTTAAGTCAGAATAAATACACATCAATTTCCATCAATAACTCAACAGTTTGAGATCTACTGCAGGGTAATGATGGGTGGTGAAAATTGGGGTTGCCATTACTGACAAGACCTAATTATATAATGTTTCTTATGGTCAGATTTAGAATGATAAAGCTTGAACAACCATTACTGAAGTTATTGAACTTGCTGTTATGTTCCAATAAGCATCACAGATTGAAGTTTGTTTTAATTTTGCAGAGCCAGATCTGATAATTTTGTTCTTATCACCTTAATGATTTATTGCAGTTGTTCAGCTGACTTATGCTTATATCCTTTGGTGATGTTGCAGGCTTACTTATAACTAACACTCTTATTTATAGATATGAGGCCTTGGATGAATTTTTCCATCATCAAGAAGGTCCTGTGAATGGAATGCTTCTTCATCTAATTGTAAACTCTTCCTTGTAAGGAATCCTCATATTGGAAAGGCGTTTTTATTAAGTATGGGAAATAAGAGGCTGAACCAGGGCTTAGTGCAACAA